GAATGCCTATCGTGCTTTCAGTGGCAAAGTTTAGGCTCTGAATCCTAATGAATGAATATGTCTAGTGTAAACTTGTAAGCCTACGTAGCATTGAGGTAATATTGTCCTGATTAAATTAATCAAGAATACTAGAACAATGATGTGCTGACTCTGAATTCTAAAGTTTTAATGTAATTATTGCTTTCACATAAGTCTAATATTTATTTATTGTTTGTCTGTAAACAGTGCAATGGAATCAGTATCTGAAAACCAAATAATACAGTTAAACAGTCAAACTGTTATCAAATAAGTCACTAGAGAAGCAATTCAATCAGTAGAGAATTTTTCTAATTAGCATATTAATTATTTGTGAATGAAAGGTGGCTCCAGCGCCCTAGAGAACTTGAGGACATTGTAGTTTGTCTTTTCATTCTACATATCCAATGACATATTTTTATGCAATTAATTTCCAATAATATAGGGAAAAAGGTTTTGCTAATCAAAGGAAAACATGGGCTCAGCTTCTGCATTAATTAGCACACATTCTAAATTGGTAGAACCTAAATTAATGAGGCCCAGGCTCCTCATTAGTAGCATTCATTGAATAAAACTGGGACTTGACTAAGAACTCTTGTGAAGATTAAAATACATATACATATTGTCTGTGGGGCAAAAAATTTTCAAAGTATGCAATTATCAATATTATAAGAGCCTTGCACTATCTATAAACACTTTAATCATCTCCTACATGTCACTAAGAGGAGGCTTTTGTCAAACTTGAGACTTTTTCTGGATCAACCACTTTTGTACATCAAATTTCAGGGCGTGCAAATGATTGCCTTTAAGAAACAGAAAATTCTCCCTAAAAAAACCAGATCCCAATCAAAAGTAGAGACATGTCTTGCTAAACTATCATTAAAATGTAATTAGGCGGTTCAATTTGAATTTTTATGGAGTTGTTTCTGTTTCTAATTGATTTGCTCTTTAATTCCAAGAGGAGATGAAACAGGGGAGCAAAATGGTACACCGTCTTCTTTGTTTCGCACGCAAACCCTTATCTCGTCTTCTGGCTCTTTGCTGAGTCATTCACTGTGCCGGCAACTTTAATTTCAGTATGTATGTGTCCCCGCACTTCCTTGTCCTTCCAGCTTGCGTCCTGACAACTATGGAATCAGCTCTTCACTTGATTACTGCTTATCATGTACTTCACTTATATTTTGGCTGCTCAAAAATCGACAGCTCCCACACTCCACAAAGTTGTGCTTTGATGAAACGCTTTCCTTTGCCTGCATCATGGTCATTGGGCATCTTGAATGCTGTTTTGTTTTTGTTTTGCATTATAGAACAGGCCTGTTGTATGTTCATTTTCTTTACATATCATGTTTTTAGATTAAGTAAAATCTAAACTAGTTATATTACTCATTTTAATTACATCACATTCTTCCGATGAAACAGAATCATATCAGCGAGCTCGTTACCAGTACCATTTATACAAAGGCAATTAGAAAATTGAATCTAGTTCTGATTTTTTCTGAGAGAAAGACTTTTTTTTTAACTGCAACATAATCAAATGGAAAAGGAAAAAGTGACATAGATCCTGTGGATGTGCCAGTCCTCTAGTAAGCTTTCCTTTTACCTGTGATCATTCCCTTCATGCAGGTGACGAAACATTTTTGTTTCTCTTTGTCTGTACTGTTACTATTAAATATGGAATTGAAATCCACACAAAGGAAAACAATTAGCAAATGAACTCATTCTCATTTTAAAGTGTTTCTATTCTTTAATTTTAAAAGGATTTTGCTTTGCGTACAGATGCTTTCTGAAAAATAAAAAAAAGTATTTTGGCCTTAAAAGAAACTCATTTTTTTTTTCAGAAAAAAGAAAATGAATAACTCACTTACCTTCTTCAGACTTTGACAATATGTTATAGATGGATTTTATATGTGCAACACAAATTGTAATAATAATGGTAATAAAGTAACTGTTAATTTTAATATCTTTCTAAGCTCTGGGCCCCATTCTCAGTGATTTGTGTATAATAATGTATTTAGTTCTCACCACTCCCTGAGGAGGTAGGTACTATAATTCACCAAATGTACAGCAAACGGCACCGGAGCAGAATGAGATCAGGTGGTTTTCCCAATTCACAAAGACCTCTTGCACAGCCTACACTTAAACCCAGGCCAGCACTGCCTACTGAGAGGCATTAGTGAGAATTGTTAAATTATATATTTTTTTCCAGAAATTGTGTTTGTTTCTTTTATACCTCTAGAGATGGAGCTCAAAGAGCAATGAGCTACATCACCAGCCTCTTTATCTTTTTAGCTTTAGAAAGGATCTCATTAAACTGCCCAGGCTGACCTTCAGACTCTCAGTCCTTCTACCTCAGTCTTTCAAGTAGCTGAGATGCCAGGTGTGCACCCAACAAGTCATATTTTTAAACTATAGAATTGTACAGAGAGGCCCGGCGAGATAGCTCAGTGGACTAAGTGCCTGCTTTGGCAAGTGCGGGGAATAGGGTTTGATCCCTTGTTCCCACATGCCACCTCCCCGCGGTCCCCCCCCCCTGCAGGTTGCACTGAGCTGGTGACCAAGTCCCAGCATGGTGGCGCACGCCTGTAATCCCAGCACTGGGAAGACTAAAAACAGGAGGATCATTATGAGTCCTAGCTGTGTAGTGAAACCCTGTACCAAATGCATAAATGGACAAAAAATAAAAGAATTGCACAGAGAGATCTAGTCATCTAAAAGCTAACATCAAATGTGAATGGACCACAGCCATTCAGTTCTACCTCTTGAGGACAATGTGGGAAGGCTTTCATTTTCAAGGCCTAGTCTTGTCAAGTTGACAGAAGAATAGGATTTTAACAAAACGAGGTGTTATACTTGGGCACGCCGCTTATATTTGCATCACTTTAAAAGCTCATTACCAACTAAGAAAAAATGAAATACTTGACATTTTGGTATCTGTGATATTAAAAAGAACTAATATTTAATATTCAAGTGGCAACAGCTTGCAGAGTTTGCACACAACACCCACGGGGATCGATTTTTCTCTAAAGCAGCCATGAGGAGTCAGCCTTTTAAGCAGCTGACACCTCCCTTCCCTGCGTCCCTCTTCCTTGCCAGCACCACAGAGCACACGCAGAGTGCAGCCGCAGACGTATAATTCTTCACTGCAGGATTTGTCTTTGCAAATAATAGAGAATGTGGGAAATTAAGAAAAATGTAATTTCCACTGAATCAATCCCAGTGTAATCTCGAGTTCTAAAAATGAATAAATACCTTCTGAGAGCTCTTTGCCATATGCCCTCTCTGTCCCTTCTATGCACCATCCACAAGGAGAGAGAAGGATCGTCATTACCTAATTGATCATCAGTCACTCCACACCTGTACGAAGGCCGCATAATGACACGTTAGTGTTGCCTGGCATTTTTCCAGCATGACTAATTGTCACAGTACTAATTTGCTCACCTGTGGAATTTTCAGCCTCCCAAGTCTGCTGTCAAGAAGATGCATAATAATGGAATACAGGTTTTAAGATGCTGAATACTGTGAAATCTTTCTCTTCTCTTCCAACAGAAAGCTTTCAGTGAGACACATGTTGGATGGCTATAATTTCTCATGGCTGGTGCAGAACACAGAACTCTCAGGCACTTAGGCACCTATGCAATAGGATACTAGGAACCAAGTGAACCAATTCTTTTGGCCTAATGTACTGATCAAATTACCAAAACTATGTTAATCTATATGATTTAGAATGAATGCCCTAATTTAGTTATTGTTAGGTTCCACATTATAAAAGCTTTTTTTCTAATTGTTGTTGTTTTAATTCAAGAAAATATTTCCCTGTATCAAGTACTAAGATAAAGGAGTCACTTGTTGGAGTTTTCTTTTTTTTCTCCCCTCAAGAAATGTGGAAACATAGTCATATCTGATTTTAACTGCAATAAGCTAGCAAGCCAAGTTGGGACATCTTTGCCAACCTGTCTGGCTCCAGGATATTTTAAATGGTGGGTTGTGTTCTTGAAAATTAATATTTGCTGTGGAAAATTATTGCCCGCTTGCATAATAGCTGACTTTTCTGGAGGTTTGCAGTCAGTGGCCCTCACTCTGATCCTGAGATGATATGTTCCATGCATCTGAGAAAATTACATAGAGATTGTTTGACAATTTTAACATAGCTGCTTGATTGCTTATGATATAAGTGAAATTCAAGTATAAAATTCCAAGGGTTGTCTAAAGAAATTTGAATAGAATTGCTCGTTTAGTTCTTACAGGCTTAAATATCAATCTTATGCATGTTCTTGACCCACCCTATCATGTCAGAATCTCCTGAGCGTAAAGTGTCAGGTCAGCTTTGGAAAATGCAGGCATATAAAAGGTTTGCAAAATATCACTTCAGGAGCCTCAATATGCTAATCCGTGTCCCGAAGAGAAGGCATTCGGTCTTTTCCAACCTTGTTTGACCCAGCTGTTCACTGCATCACAGCACATCTCTGCAGCCAACGCCTGCAGCATAAGCTTGGCCGTGCCTCGTGCCTGACGCATCCCCAGTGCTCACCGTACTCCGGCGAAGTTTCAACATTATCCACTTTCAATTGAATTTAAACTGTCTGTGATATCCTTCGCCTTGGACTTGTTCTCGAGGATAAGTATGCAAATAGAATCAGAAATACGAACTCATCTCTTCTAACCAGATCTCAGCCCACACATTTCGAGGTAAAAGAGTAGTGAAATAATCCGTTCTGGCAAGTTGACCTATAGCGATGCTGTGACTTAAGATGGGATTATTTTTTTAAGTGATAGAAAAAGAGAAAAGGAAAACAGCAGCTTCCTACTCGGCACATGTCTTCCAGTGAGCGTATCTAAAGAACATTTTCCTCAGTTCAAAATTGATAGCCAACTTTTTTTTTGTTGTTTTGCTATTCAAATTTCTGTCCTCTTTTTCCAGCCTATTTGCTTTAACACTGAATTTTAAGCATCTCTAAAAATGCTTGATATGTTATTATTCTTTCCAGATATCCTCGGAGAGCCAAGCAGGGAACATTAAGGAAAGGAGAAGGGATGAGGCTGCGACCCGTGCTGTGAGCCCTAGAGGGAGAGGCGCCTCTCCAGAGGGAGGGGCCTGCCGCCAGCATGAGAACTTACCGCTACTTCTTGCTGCTCTTCTGGGTCGGCCAGCCCTACCCAAGTCTCTCCACGCCAGTATCTAAGAGGACTAGTGGTTTCCCGGCCAAGAAAAGGGCCCTGGAGCTCTCTGGAAACAGCAAAAATGAGCTGAGCCGTTCCAAAAGGAGCTGGATGTGGAACCAGTTTTTTCTCCTGGAGGAATACACCGGATCCGACTACCAGTATGTGGGCAAGGTAGGCTTCCCGGATGCGCCGGGTTCTGGGCTGGACAGCCTACAGAAGCCACTGCTAGTAAGGAGGCAGGGAGGGTGTGAACTCTTCCCCAGCAGGGAAGAATTGTTGCTTATCTGGTGAGACTTTTTTTTTTCACTTGAGTAGTTTCGGGAAGAAGATTGTAGCAAGAAGCTGAGAAAGGTTAGCAGTACAACAAAGAAAAGAAAATGCTCCAGTGGAAAATGAAACACCCACAACCATCTGCATAGGATTATCACAAATCCTTTAATTTTACTTTAGCTTGAAAAATGGGGTCCAGAGATTCTATAAAATTGGGTGCATTAAAAATAGGAATAAAGCGATTACACCGTATGGGAAGGAAGATGCCTTTTTTTCTCATTTTAAATGCAAACATTCTGAGTTTGGGTTCTTTGGATAAATTCAAATGAACTGCTTCTTAACTCTGTTACCTGTGTTGCCTGTTGTTGGCAAAGCCGAGCCCTGCGGGTTAGATATGGCAGTGGCTGCTGCGATGTCTTATCTCTGGTAATTGGCAAGGACTAGATGTCTTAAATTCTTATGGTTTAATTATAGCAAGATTGACAAAAAAGAGAAAAATGGTTACATAAAGGTGCTATTTCTAAATAGCATCAGACCATTTTATTGACTGTAGGCAGGAAAGTGAGGGAAATGGTTTATTATAGCACAAACCGATTCCTGGAGCCGCGGCAGAGAGGAAGCTCTGTCCAGCTGTCACTGTGAGTGTCACCGAGATTGCATCATCAGCTACCTCACTGTCGCAGAATGTCTGCATACTGCCAAGGTGTGAATGAAGGGCCAGTGCACATTCTGCATCTCACACGGTGGCACTGATAAGGAAAATCATTGCCACACATCCTATACGTAAACAGGCAGTAAACATAAAATACAGATGATACAGTGTCTTCCTTTATGATCATAGCTTGGATTTTTTAGATACCTATATTAGAGTCTCATGAAAATAATACAAACTTTGAAGATTCCAAGGGCTGAAGGCCACACTTCAATCTTTGATTAAATATCCCTGAATAACAGTGTGCAAAAATTCTCTTTAAGTATTTACCACTACAAATGAGGGGAAAGCCAACCATGGCTTCGGCTGAGGTAACCAGGCAATGTTCCAGTGCATTGAATTATTAATGCAGAATAAAGTAGGAGAGGAAGTCTTCAGTGAAGGGGTGAGCGGCAGCGCAGGTCCCCCAAGGACCTAGCCACGTATCTGCTGTGAAACTCACACTGTGTAACTACCAGGGAGAGACGATTCATTTACTTGTACTTCATTTCCTCTGTGAAACTTGAATAACCCTGTGTTAATAGGGTGATGAATATTTTTAAAAACCTTAAACTCTTTGAAGCGCTTTTTACCACCCAAATGGCATTATTGCTATAGAAGTTTACGTTTTTTTAAAAGCGCTTCCTCTAAGCAATTGGTCCCCAGCCCCTGCTTTTTTTTTCCCCTTTCTGTTTATCTTCTCAAACCATGGTTCCATTTTAAGATCAATAATACTACAGATTCTTAAAGAATGTCCAGGAAATTTGAGAACACTGGAAGAATCGATAAATAAAACTGCACAGAAATCAATTTTACTATTATATTTGTGAGAGATAAAACACGGCCAGAGGACAAGGTGCGAGCCTAACCCTGCCTCTCCAGCTGCCACTTGGTGCCCCTGGATGCGTTATTAACCTTTCCAACTATTGGTTGCTGCATCTAGAAAATGTAGACAGTTAAACTTACCAAATGGAATGGCAGGATGGTTTCAACGAGACAACTGTTGTAGTCGACACCTAGTAGGTGCATAAAGTACCTGTTACTGGTGACGACCCACTGTGTGCATTCTGTTAACTCCAGGTGCAATGCATTGAAATGGCCTATTGACCTATATCGCTGTAGGAGAGAATCGCTCTCATTAACACCCTCCGTGGTTAGAGAATGGAATCATGATAGAGCCCTTCAACCACCACAGTGCTCACCAGGCTCATTGGGTCGGGAGGGATTATTGGCAGCTAGATAAGCGTCCCTGGCTCCTCGTCCTCCTCATCCTCCGCTCTCGCCCATCCTCTTTCCCTCTCCTCACGTGAGAGGAATTAGCCGGAGGAAAAGGCATCCAGGGTCATCACTGACGCTGGTACCGCTGCCAGTACTGCTGCGTGCGTTAGGAGCAACAGGCGCTCTCCAGCTGTTGAGGCGGCATTTCCCCAGCTGCCTTTGAAGACAATTTTTTACTATAACTAAAAATATAAAAAGTTTGAAAATAGATTTCAGAAAAAGGAAAAAGATAGTTGTTCCTTATTCCTGACCCAAAGACGATCAGACTTTAATTGACTTGGAAAAAAAGGAGAACGTTGATATGGTTATCCGGACCCACCATACCAGAAAACTTTGGGGAGAGAAAAAGGATTAATGTACAGTGAATTCCGAAACTTTCCCGGTGCCCAGAGCTTTTTTTTATAGTTTGCAACATAGTACTGTAATCATTTGAAAAAATAATACACATATGTTTTTTAAAATATGGCACTCTTAGCCACAATTATGTACAATTGGAATGTGTGTATCGATCGGGTGTGGCACAGCGTCTCAATCAGACCTGACACCGCCCCTCTTTTTACTCTTCCAATCTGAATTTTACTCGGTGGTTGCTTTGCGTCCCTGTCACCCTGGGATTGACATCACCAACAGGAATGCAGCGCCACCTGCTGTAGAAACTGTGCATTACCTTGAGCTGAGAATTCCCAGGAGGGCCGCGGAAGGTCACGTGGTGCTGTATTTTCCGTGAAATCTTAGAATACAGTGTTTCCTGGTGAGTTGCTGGCTGCACCCTGTATTGCCTGCACGCACACTCTGGAAACCATGAAGCTATAACTAGATCGGTATACAAAAGTGTGCGAAGGCTTAAAAGCCTGTTAGTCGTGCTAGCAACCCTACCAAATTATTCAGGACCTGCTGTGGTTGCCTACATCTGATTAGTTTAGGGCTTGCCCAATAGCTCAGGGTTGAAACCCCAGCTTGCCGCGCCGGCCCCACCCTGGGGCGCTCTGAGACTGCGACTGAGACGGGGCATGATGGTGCGCGCCCATAATCCCAGCGCTTGGGAGGCTGAAAACAAGAGAATTACTACGAGCCCGATCTATGTAGTGAGACCCTGTAGACCCTGTACCAAATACAAAAAAAAAAAAAAAAAACCTGAAAAGACTGCTGTGATCTGTATGTGGAAGGATAGAAACCTTAACTGGGGAAAACCAGTGCTGTTGAGCAGGTAATACTTAAAGCTAAGGAATAAGATTTTTTCATTAGACCCATTTGGGTTGATTTTCTCAAATTGTCTTGGGGTCCTAGTGATAGCAGACACTATGATGGAAGATGGGATAAAATGGGAGTAGGGAGGGGAAAAAAGCTTTCAAGTGTAGAAGGAAAAAGAAAGGGGTGCACAGGAGGTCACAAGACCCGAACAGGGAGCAGTGGGGCCCTTGTGGTAATAAAACGAGTGCAGGCGAAGTCTCCGGCGAAGCTCCCGTGCACCCCGCGCTGCCGCCTGCCTTCTGTCTCCATCCTGCCGTATTCTTCCTGCTCCCTCCCGCGTGAGCTTAATGCAGGACCAAGAACAGGGGAGGGTCAGGAGGAAAGCGCTCCAGATACTAGAAGTGGTAAGAGCCGGAAGCAGCGGCTAATCAGGTCGTGATCTAGGCCAAAATGTCAACAATTCTGTGCCTACAATGGTGATGGCAGGAAGCAGCAAAAAACCAGAAGAAGGAGTTTCTTTGGCTAAGCATTTATGAGCTTAAGAGGTAAGCGAAGCTGACGTGGGGACAGACCATTGTATTTCTAACAGGCATGACCATTTGGAGACACTTCGAGTGGTGTTAGTGTCATCAGATCCCTAAGAGCCTGCTAGACATACAGAATCTCGGTCCTCCCTCCGATCTTACTCACTCCAAATCTGCACTTTAACCAGGTCCCCAGGTGAACTATTTGCACATTAAAATTTGAGAAATGCCGCTTTTCAAAATAACTTGCCTGCGTCTCACCACCCCAGAGATTCTGATCTAGACGGTTTCTAATTAAGTATTGATGATTCTAATCGGTTGCAAAATTTGAAAACCACAATCCTGGGAGGATTTTGTTGCCAATCATGATAATAAAATGCAGCAGGTTTCCTGATAAAGGGGGGAAGCCACAAACTATAATGGAAATATGAAGTAGAGTGACCAGCCAGGCTCTGGGGTTCCATGGAGCTTCCGAGGAGAGGTGATGATATTTGAGCCCTACCTTAAAATCAGAGCAGAGAGGGTCTCCCCAGGACTTCCCAGTTAGTAAGATGTAGAAGCCAAAGAAGAGAAAAGTCCAAAGAGACAAAGGCCAAGAGATTCAACAACCACTGTAATGAAAGTGTCACTGCTGATACAGTACACAAGAAGGTGCATGTTTTCCTATCACTGACTGAAGAGAAATGGGTTTGATTTTTGTATAGAATCCACTTGGGTTGTCTTTGGCTTAGGTAAACTTTATAGAAAAATTGGAAGGATTGTAATGTCACATTTTCAGAAATTTCACTACTCCCCCAGCCAGCTTTGTGTCATACAGAAATGCTTTGATGAGGGTAACAATAACACTGGCATATAATCTAAGACTGTTTCATACAAAAAGAAGACCTTGGATAACTATAGATACAGATTAGACTTTTGAGCATGTGGGTATTCATTTTTTTAATGTATTTAGAACAGGGTCTATGTGCTCTCACTACACATATCAGACTCATGGTGATTCTCCTGTTTTCAGCCTCCCAAGCACTGGGATTACAGGTGCGCTCCACCACACCCAGGTTCAATCTCTGTCTCAGTGCACCCCAAGGGCAGGGCTGGCACCGAATGCCCAGAATCGAACCTGGTCCCTGCACCTGCCTAAGCAGGCACTTTAGTCCACTGAGCTATCTGGCCAGCCCTGTGGACATTCATTAATATAGAGATGAATGTACTAAAATCTC